CTGGTGCTTCTAATTAAGTGATAAAAAGCAGTTGCAAATATTGTACAAAATAAATATACTAATCTTTGCAGCAATAGCACTTTGTTTTTACTACCAAATTATATGTGATATCTTATTATTAATATTTAACTTGCATTGGAAAGATTTCTCACGCGATCTTGGCAAAAAGTCTCACGATTTATATATCCAGAACATGATGCATGATCTAAGCCTCGAATACCACTCCGGAGCGCTATTCAAGATAGTGTGGATTTAGTGTGCGTTAAGGGCACTGTGCTTTGGCGTTTTTAAGACCTGGGACAGTCTTGCACACTTACTTCCTGTCGCGCACGTGCTCTCAAGTGGCCAAGACCACTGTACCAGACATGAGCGTACATGGGCTTTGAGCCAATATTGGAGGGGCCACATGTGAAGCAGGCCCAGAGGAATCACAGAGGAAGCGGCTGAACGACACCTCTAGCCACTGAATTGTCAGGGAGCATTCCGGCGTAATCCATGCCCACATCTGGGCTGAATCAATAACTGTCCCCAGGAAGATGACTCCCTGGCTGGGAGACAGAGAGCACTTCACTGTTTGCTAGAGGGAACGTTTCTATGGCTCCTTTTGCAAGCAGATTTGCACTTTGGACCAGAGAACGTGATCATCATTGGCCCGTATCGAAGTTTGGATGATACCTCTGAAGCGAGGTGGCCTGTGAGTGAACTGGAGTGAGTAACCCCGATCTATGGATTTTAGAATCCAGCTTGACACATTTGGAATTGCTTTCCAAGCCTGTAGCCAGAAGGCAAGTGGACTGAGTTTATCAAATGGCAGGTAGTGGGAAGAGGAGAAGTGCTCTTTTCAGTATATGGGTCTGCTATCACAACAGTAATTTGCTTGGGTGCATGCTGAGTGAGAAAGACGGGCCCAGCCTGAACAGAGCTTTCCCTGAGCTAAGCAGGGGAATGGAGAGCGAGTGAGAGACTTATTTGAGGGTAATCTGGCTTTGGCGGGAACTGAGCCTCTCATCTTCCTCTCGGTGTTGGGATCAGGATGGCTTCTGAGGCTCAGGTTCCAGCACCACTCTGGGGTGGGGACCTTGGCGCTTAGGAAATGGGTAGTGTCTAGCTGTCTGAGGGCGCTGCTGAAGCCCTGGCTCAGAATTAGGCTGGAGGAAGTGACGCATAGCCTGCGATGACTTCTGTGCTGCCGTAAACCTCTCAGAAAATCAATCAACGGCAGGGCTGAACAGTCCCTAGGGAGTGGGGAGTTGAGGAAGGCATCTTGTCAGTGTCCATGATCTCTGTTAAGCTTAGCCAAACTAACCATGGGCTTGCCAATTGCCTGTGCAGTGGCCTTTGTAAAGCACAGAGCCAGGTCAGTCACTGTGCACAGCTCCTTGAAGGCATCAGAACTCTTGCTGGTCTCGTCCTACATCCCATCAGCAAACATACTCATTTTCAGGCAGAAGTCTCTAAACTAATCCTTTCCAATCATCCTACTACTTGTCTGCTTGATCCTAATCCATCTCATCTCCTTCAAGCCATTTCTCCTGCCATTGTACCTGCACTCACTCACATCGTTAACACATCCCTTCACACTGGTGTTCTGTCATTCAGAAACATGGCTTTTCATATCACTGCTATGCTGATGACGCTCTACCTCTCATTCCATCCTGATGATCCCAAGATAGCTGCTCGCATCTCAGCTTGTCTAACAGACATTTCTTGTTGGATGACGGACCATCACCTTCAACTGAACTGCTTGTGGTTTCAACAAACCCATAATTTTATCAAAATTTCACCATCCATTTAGGCTTATCAACCATAACTCCTTCAAAAACAGCTAGAAACCTTGGAGCTGTGATTGATGATAAGCTGAATTTCTCAGACCACATAGCTAAATCTGCCAGGTCCTGCAGATTTGCTTTATACAACATTAGGAAGATCAGGCCCTTTCTTTCAGAACATGCTTCACAACTCCTTGTTCAAGCTCTTGTTCTATCCAGGCTGAACTATTGCAATGCTGTCTTGGCAGGTCTTCCAGCCACTTCTATCAAACCTCTACAATTAATCCAAGAAGCAAGATTAATCTTTAATGAGCCGAAAAGAATGCACGTCACACCTCTGTTCATCAATTTGCACTGGCTACCAGTAGCTGCTCGCATAAAATTCAAGGCATTAATGTTTGCCTACAAAACCACCACTGGCTCTGCACCTATTTACCTAAATTCATTACTTCAGAGTTATGTGCCCTCTAGAAGCTTGCGTTCTGCAAGTGAATGACGCATTATTGTGCCATCACAAAAATCACTTTCACTGACTTTTATATTAACTGTTCCCTCCTGGTGGAATGACCTGCCCAACTCAAGTCCTTAGCCATCTTCAAGAAACGACTAAAACACATCCATCTTTATTTTACCCTCTAACTCTAGCATTTTCTATTCTATTTTAATTCTACTTTATCTATTTATCTTCTTTTTTTATAAAAAAAAAACAAAAACAAAAAAACACTAGCTTTATATTTTTTCTATTCTATCTACTTGTTTTTCTTTGTGTGTGTGTGTGTGTGTATATGTGTGTGTATAATATATATATATATCTTGCTACACTGCATTAGGCTAACCGAGACCTGCCGTAGCTACAGGTCAAAACACAACTGCCTTTGTCTTACTCTCATTAAAATTTAAACCAAAAGTTTAAGGGCATCCTAGCTTTCATATCCTATAGACAAGCGGTTAAAGAGCTGAGATAATTGTTGTTGCTTTGCTTAAAAGACATAAATTTGGGTGTAGTCAGCATAAAAATTAAACAATACTCTGTATTTGTTAAAAATCAATATAGAAGAGAATTAAATGAGGGCAATAAAACAGCTTTGAGGGACTCCATATGTCAAAACTAATTTAGTGGGGGGAAAAAACCCACCGACACAGACTCTAATTCAGTCGAATCAACGGAGGGGAGAGTCCCCTGAATCAACAGAAAACAATATAAAGTTAATACACATATAAGAGCAGACTCTAGTTGGTACTGCGGTTCTTCCTAAACCCAGAGATCCCAAACACACTATTGGATGCAAAACAAACAAATATTCCAGACAGAGACTGCTTTCTCTAAAACTTTGGGCATAAAGGATAAATTAGAAATTGCCCTATAATTACATAAGACTTTTCCACCATGGGTCTAACAGTTTTGGGTTTTAATTGCTGTCAGAAAACCAGGGACGACTCATCACCTGTGCAATGGCATCTCAACAGTGAAGGATGGTGGTGTTACTGTGGGGGTGTTTATTTTAGCAGTAGTCACAGGGAGACTGGTCATGAGAGAAGTAAATCCGAACAAATGAAAATACAGAAATTCTCAATGAAAACCTGGATCAGAGCACTCAGGACCTCAGATTGCACTGGAAGGTTCACTTTCCAACAGGACAATGATCCTAAGCAAGTCAATACTATGCAAGAGTGTCTTAGGGATGCCTCTGTGAATATTGAGTGTCCCAGTCAGAGCCCAGATTTGAACCCAATCAAACATCTCTGGAGAGACCTGAAAATGTCTGTCCACCGGTGGTACCCATCCAACCTGAGAGAGCTTGAAAGGATATGCAGTGAAAAATGGCAGAAAATCCCCAGATGCTCAAAGCTTGTTGACTCATATCCAAAAAGACTTGAGGCTCTAATCACTGCCAGTTATGGGTTATGGGTCAGAACACTTATACAGTGTAGTTACTTTAGCCTGGTTTTAGAGGGGTTTTAACCACTTTTTTTTAGCTGGTCAATCTGGGAGTCTGGGACCTCATCTGTTGATTGCAGATTAGGGGTAATTCAGTGTCTGATCTTTCTTAGGCACTACACTCTTTTTTAAAACAGATGAAGGATCAAACTACTGAAAAATGCAGTTAACTTAATAGTGTTGCTACTTTTAGATACCAGCATTGTCTTTTTGTCTTTATGTTGTAGCCTGACGAAAGGAAACTAAAGTAGAAAATATTAGTCTCTATGGTGATAAAGGGCATTTAATATCTTCTGTTAATCTGGACCAATCAAGAGGGCTGGGAGCCTAAAAATGTTTTTAGACTCCAGTGCTCATGCCCTCAAAAAAGAGGCATATTCATTCACCACCACTGCCTCCAGATTAGCACCGCCAAAGTCTCATCTGCAAACCGTGGGTGTCTGTAAACGGAGAAGGAAGTTGATGTATCCCAGGGCATTCATGACTCAAGCCAAATCACACAGACCGATGCACACAGACAACAGCACGACTGCATGCCACAGCATCAGGTCACTCTAAGAATAGCTCTACTCCGAAAAAGGAAGTGTGTATCTATACTAACACGTTTCACAATCTTTTTTATGCGATTGCCATGATGCATTAGGATGGCTGCAAACTGCTGACTGCCTCCACAAGTCAATCACCGCTCTCTCACTGATCTCTCCTATTATTTTTTGTCATAGTCTCTTTCTCACTCCTTCTTTCTGCTGTACATGATCTTACTCCACCCTGCAATGTTTTGGCTAAATCTTAAACTACACGCTGGTAAATGGGATTACACTTGCTGTCGTGAGATATGGCTCTGTATCACCAAAGCTGTGATTCAGCCGTAGACACAAGGACCCAGGCCAATGCATTGAACTCTGTGAAGTGAAGCATTAGATATACCCCAAATGTATTATATCTCATGTTTAACCACTACAGATTCACCAGAGCCCGTGGCAAATGTCAGAAGGACTTGCCAAGATAAGGCTGTTCTTGATGGAGTACATGAGCGCCAGCTGCCCGGTGATCGCCCAGTCCTAGCCCAGATATATCAAGCCACTAGATTTGAAAGCTACTTGATCAGGCGACCAGGTACACATAGCATAGTGTATTATAAAAGACCCGCTTGCAACACTTATTGGCCAAAAAAAAACACAGTTGCTTCAATGACAAATAGTATCAAACCCAATTAAACTTGTTTTTGCAATTTTTTGAAATTTAAGGAAAAAAAGCATGCCAGTATTCAAGATGTAAACCGGAAACTGTACCTGACACAGTCCTGACAACCTCTGTGGTATTTCTCAGGCCAACAAAGGAGAACTGGTAAAGACGCCAGGAGCGGATGTCTCCAACCTCCACTGAGCTGCGTTTCCACTTGTATACAATCTCCTCCTTGGGGTAGCCATCTGCAGAAACAAACAATTGGAATTGGTCCAAAAACAACAACAACAGAATTGTCTATTGACGAGCAGGCTGGGGCGCTGCGGCCGGCGGACAGGTGGAGGCAGCAGCTGCCCGCCGGGGCAGAATGTCGGATCGCCTCAGTCTGCTCCTGTGCAGCCGAGAACTGCTGGGCCATATTCTCGACTGTGTCGCCGAAAAGGCCGGAATGGGACACAGGGACCTTGAGGAACCGAACTTTGTCAGTGTCCCTCATGTCGACCAGACACAATCAGAGGTGACATTCCTGGACCACAAGTGTGGACATCGCATGACCCAGAGAACTCGCGGTGATCTTCGTCGCTCGGAGCGTGAGATCAGTTGCGGTTTGGAGCTCTTTTAGAACTTCCGGACGTGACCACCCTCGTGCAGGTCCCTCAGTGCTTTAGCCTGAAGAACCTGCAGTAACGCCGTAGCGTGTAAGGCGGAGGCAGCTTCTCCGCAGGCCGTATAAGCATTGCCGGACAGACCAGACGAGTACCTACAGACCCGGGAAGGGAGGCACGGTTCGCCCTGCCCGGGTGGAGGCGGTATTAGGACACAACTGCATCGCAACCAACCGCTCCACCGGGGGGGACCCCCGTATACACCCTAGCTGCACCACCGTCAAGAGTGGTGAGGGAGGAGGAGTTAACAGGTTGGTTTCCGGCAGAAGAAGGTGCCATCCACAACCTGGTAAGCCCTTTATGCACCTCCAGGAAGAATGGCACTGGGGCGGGGCGCTGAGAACTCATTATCCCAGAGGCACTAGTGCTCCGTACCACTTCCGTCAAAAGTGTAGCGAAGGCTAGGTGTGTGAATACATCTTTATCTATATAAATATATATACGTATATACAGTGTTGGGAAGGTTACTTTGGAAATGTAATAGGTTACAGATTACAAGTTACCCTACTTAAAATGTAATAGTAGTGTAAATTCTTCAATTACTTTATTAAAGTAATGTAACTGATTACTTTTGATTACTTTTCTAAATTTCTAATGAATGTTTATTTGCAACAGTTATCATTTTCAAACATTTACACCATGCAGTGTACACTGCACTGTTAGACTTTCAAAATCCTTCATCACTTGAATTAAGATGATCAAATTTGAACACATCCACCACAAAATCAGACTTTAGTACCACCTTTTATTTTGAGATTGATCTGAAGTTCAATGCAGATTTAAAATCATAAGAAATATTTACTGATACTGTTTTTGAAACCAAATCTTTGCATAACTACAGGAAACACTGCATGTAACAATGGTTTGGAAAAAAATTGTTAATTAAAAAATTATAATAAATAAAAGCATATACATCAACTCAAATACGGTTATCTATTAAGCATGTGTCCTATTCTGTGTACTAAACTCCTGAAACATTGGTGTCTCTTTGTATATGACATGACTCAAAATAAGTAAAATGCTCATGAAGTGACTCTAGAGCAGTTCTAGAGATTATGTTTATGTGTTCATGTACTCATATATTGAGGCGGCAGAGGTTGAAAACACTGCGAGCTTCAGTAGGTCTATGTGTAGTAAATGAAACTGCATGTCTGTGCCATTAATTTCGGACTGGGAAAAAAAATTCAGGCCGGGAAATCTCACACTCCTACACCCACAACAAATTCTGAAACAT